TAAATCACTCTTAATCTTTTAGTTTTTGAAAATTGATAAAGATTAAGAGTGATTTAACCAGTCTATTTTAAAATTGATAAAAAGCTAAAAATAACGGTTTTAATGTATCTTCTGAAAATGTAAATTTTATTTACTAAAAATAAACCGGGTGTGAACATGGATCAGGTTGTTTTATCGTCAGTCAAGCATCGTAAAGTGTACGAGAAGTTTATTTAGGACCGGAGATAGTAATTTTTGGTGTTAAATTATTTTTTTATTTTATATATTCAATATTGGTGTCATATGAAAGATAATAAAAAATTATGAATATTGATATATTTTTTGTAACAATCAGAGTACAAATAAAAAAGTTACAGCAGTTCAAAGAAAACAGGGGTTTTTTAATTTTGGATGGGTCCCACTGCATTTGTTGTTAGACTTGAGCATGTATGTTACGTAAGTGTATAGTTTGATGCTTTAAGAAAAGCCGCCACTTCAAGTGGCGGCTCTTGTACTGTGTAGAGAAAAGCCGCCATTTCAAGTGGCGGCTTTCCTTAACCACAGTTAACCCAGCAGTATTTTGGGAATTATTTTTAACCCAGCAGTATTTTGGGAATTATTTATTTATGCAGCATTATTCCGGGAAAAAACTCTATTTCCTAAAGGAAGGAATACAATTTTTATCCAAATTAATTAAAACATTAATGTCAACAGGAAGAGAAAGCGGATGAGTGTAATTTCTAAAATCAGTCATAACAAGTCCCAGCCGAGCCAGAGCATGTGCGATGCCATTCATCTCCCTAAAGATATGTTGGATTCGGATATGGAGCGACTGATAAATTTGCTGAGCTTCATCAAACAAGTTCCGAAGGTAGGCTGGGGCAGTATCCTCCTTCAGTAGAAGTCTTGTCGTCATCTCCGAATCCGACTCCAATTGAAGATTTAAAAAGCCAGATCTAGCACACCATTTCAGAGCAACAAGAACCACAAGTGCCTCAGCCTGAAGAACTGTCTTCGCACGTATCGGACAAGAAAAGGCTGCAATCAAATTCCCCAAATCATCTCGAAGGATCCCTCCACCTGCACATCTCCCATCAAGAAAGGCAGCATCAACGGACAATCGCAACCTGTGAGGATAAATCTTCTTCCAGATAAGTACTTTAATCCTGCTTCTGCGAAATGATTCAGCTACAATTCCATCTTGAATGAGGTCATTATTAGCATCAATGAGAAGTCTCTTAGGCTGAGTAGAAATCCATTGATGACAATAGTCTTTTATTCTAAAAATAACAACCCCGACATGGAATTGCTTACCATCCCAAATCAATTCATTGTAAGCTTTCCAAATATGCCAAGAAATAATTCCTGGTAAATTAGATTTCAGAACAGCTTCCAGAGAGTTTCCTTTTGCTGAGAGCCACCAGCAAAAAAACATTTGACGAATGCTAGTATTAATGGTTCTGTGAATGGAAAAAATACCCATGAAATAATCCCATATTTGTCTAATTTTTGAACAGGAGTAAAGGCAATGGGATCGGGACTGTTCTGCAATGAGATAGATAGGACATTGAGTGGCTAACTGGATAGAAAACCTTCTGCGGTTTTCTGGAAATGGAAGAAAATTACTGAGTAGCTTCCAAATGAATAGTTTAATTTTCAAGCTTTGGTGAGTATTCCAAGCCTGCTGAAAGAAAAAGTGGATGGGGATGAGTCACGCACCAACTCATAGGCAGAAGTTAAGGTAAAAACTCCATGGGTATCAGGTTTCCAAATAAGTTTTTGATTGTCATCAATTTCAATGTTTTCTTCTCCCAAATCATTCCTAATGATATTAATATAAGTGTTTTGTTTTGATGATAAAATAACTCTGTAATTATGTATGATTAACAAACAAAAAGGACAAGTTTGTCCAATTTTTAAAAAATGGGGTGTGCTCAACATTTGTCTAATGTTTTACGTAGTATTTTATTCAAGGATAAATAATTCTAATTAAACAATACTCCCTCTGTCACACTAACAATGAGACAAGAGGGAGTGACACGCAAATGAATAAAAAGTGTTGTATATGGTTGATATTGAATTGATAAAGTAAGAATAAAGTAATAGAATGATTTAGAGTCAAACAAACTTTACCAAATTTGGTATGAGACAATCTTAGTGAGACAGACCAAAAAGGTAAAATGGGACAATCTTAGTGGGATGGAGGTAGTACTCTGTATCAACTATGACCCGTGAATCAATGATAATATATAGTTGGGAAATGATTTTCAATTATACAGAGCCTCTTTCCGACTAGAAATTCAATGATTTAAGCCATTAAAAACTGATGGAGTATAAAACTATCAAATAAAGGTGATGGATTATATTCCCGTATACCCAGGGGTATCATAATCGCCGAGCAAAGACCACAAAGGCGTCACAAAATACTTAAGCACCAGAATTCCAACTAAGGCCGACCTCGACCACCGAGGTCGGGACTAAGCACGAGATGGCAAATCGACAAAGGATAGAAGACTCAGCTGAGCCCGACCTCAACCCCCTGAGGTCGGAAAAAACACCGAGCTCAGGAATCACCCAGTTAAGGCAAAGTATGAGGCCGACCTCAAACACACCAAGCTCGGTCTCAACTCTGACCCCAAGGTCAAGTAGAGTCAAACAAGGAAGTCAGCGCCACCAACTGAAACCAAAGACCGGAGATAGATCCTCCCGTAGTAAAAGCGAATACCCGAGCCCTGGCCTCCAGGACCTCGGGGTCTCTCCAACGATATGTGGACTTAGGCGTTTCTCGAATTGAAGTACTACACGGGCTTCCGCCGCATCACCGCTACCCCAGGAAACGCAACATCACCCGCAACGGATAAAAGAAAGGAATAATCCGGATAACACACATGCAGTGTAACACGCACGTGTGTTTCATTACCAATTTGTTTCAAGCAGTTCCAATTAGACAGCTATACCGGTTATCTCTCCAATCACCTTTACACGTGTCAACACTCTATTAGACCAGTCTGTTATTTCTGTTACACTGGAAGGACGACACATGTCCTCTCCACAATAGATTAGCATATTTTTACTTGTTAGCCAAGTATTACCTTTTTAGTATAAATATCACCTTCCAACATGTGGAAAGGAATCTACAATTGAATTCTCTTGATGTTACTTTGCTGAAATTCATACCTGACTTGACTTGAGCTTGTCCGATCTTCTCCCTTATTTTCCCGGATTCCGCCTACCCCGGGATCAGTGATCCATCAAAAGGTTATTCAAGAAATGTGATGACTTGCTTCATATTTGGAAATGCTTTGATTTCTAGTGAAAAATAGTTAGGTATCACCTAGTTCGTATTTTTAGATATTACCGAGTATTTCGTATTTTTAAAGCATGCATTATTCTTGGTTTATATAGGAGATAGCTGGTATTATTTCAAATTATTACGGAGTATTATTTTAGTTAACCACGAATATAAAGAAAGCTACTTGTAGGTTAAGATAAAAACTATACATGTTTGTATATATTCTTAAATGTATTTATTATTTAATTAATTATTATTTACTAGTAATACTTATTACATGGTGAAATTAATTGAGTAGTTTGTTGTAATATATTTTTAGAGTTTTTTTATAAGAATATTACTAAAATAAAACTTATTTACATAAATATGACTATTCATTACTACAACGTAGTGTTGTGGTAACTTAAGTTCAACACTTGAATATGAATTACTATGATTTCATTACTACTATAGTAATTAGTCATTTTTTTGTAAATCATCTTTATTTTAGTCATATTTATGTAATTATTTCATATTTTAAACATAACAATTTTATCATTCTTGCAGTTTTGCATGCTAATGTGTATTTGTGTAATGTGTAAATATTTTTTCACACGCATACACAATACTTTGTATTAGGGCCGATCCTGGTACTTTATGGGCCGACGAGCAGTGATGTTGCAAAGTTGACCAGCAGGTGGCAGTGATGAAGATGCAGACACGATGGAGCCGCATAGATGCTCAAGCTATGAAAATGTAGAGGCCACAAAGATGCAATTTGTCTGATGAGGAATTGAGGAGCGATGAAGCAATGAGAATTCAGAATTGGTCATTTTATATTCAAGTCTTAGGTCACTTTTATCTATCCAAGTTTTAATATTTGTGTTATTCTTTCAAAATTATATAAAAACAACTAAAATGATTGTCTACAATAACTTCAATCAATTCAGTCAGAAAAGTAATTATAACTTTACTTATTTTGGATATTGCACAACTAAACGTGTAAAATAAAAAAGCTACGTATTTGGTGAAAAAATTATCTGATAAAACTGATTGGTCAAAAACACAAATAATAAATGAGCTCTTATTACCCCTCCCGTCTTGAAAATGTTAACAAAATTGACTTTTCTTGATCAACGACAACCAACTTTCACCAATGCTATTTTTTAATACGAAATTATTTTGAATATTAGAATTATATCCAAATTATCCTTATCCGAAATATTTTCATAAAAACATAAATTTATAAATTATACGGAGTATATAAATATAATAATTAAATTATTGTTCAAAATATGTCATCATTATATATGAAAATTAAATATGGCAGAACATTTTCTGGACAAGTATTAAAAATTTAGAACTACTTTACACTTGGAATTTTTAGGGCAAATAAAGGTTCATAACTTCATATATCCAGGGTAAAATGAGTTGTGACTTGTGAGTGGTGAAGGGGAATTGGAAACCCGTTCACGCCGAATATTCTTCTCATATTCCCGCCCACTTCTTTCAGGAGTCAAAAAACAAAACCCGCAACCGCTGACCGTTCGATTACCCGTAGAACCGAATCTGACGGTGCATAACTCGTCCAGAGCCCAGGAGTAAATAGGCAACACGACATCCCTTTTGTTGGAAGGAAGAGAGGAAAACCCCAAAACCGAAAATCCGCATAATATTCCCTTGGCATCTTCTCCCAGACTTCACTATATATAGCCCTCTCCAAATTTATCTCATGTAAACCCAATTCTTCATTCTTCTTCTCCTTCTAATTCACAAAATAATCAAAGCTCCGTTTCCTACAATGGCGGACATAGTTGTGGTTTTCGACTTCGACAAGACGATTATCGACGTGGACAGCGATAATTGGGTCGTCGACGAGTTAGGCTTCTCCGACTCCTTCAATCGCCTTCTTCCCACCATGCCCTGGAATTCTCTCATGGTTTGTTACTAATTACTAATTCAGTTCTTCTCTGTTTTGTTTAATTTGGTTTCTTCCCTATTCAGCAGCAAAGTCGTTAGGTTCTCCCCTGTTTCTCGCATGTTTTTCAATATAAACCATCCATGTCCAGTAAATACTCGTTAATGATTGTTAATACAATAAGTGTAAAATACAAATGTGGCTTATAAAGTTATGATTTTTTCTTGATTTTAGGATACGCTGATGTCGGAGCTTCACGCTAATGGTAAAACGGTCCGAGACATTGAGCAAGTTCTCCAGCGTGTTCCCATTCATCCCCGGGTTGTCCCGGCTATTAAAGCCGCTCATGCTTTAGGGTAATTAATTGATTGATTAATTCACTAATCCTATCTTTGAACGAGTAATTTTGTAAGTGAACTGGAACTGATTTCATATGAAATCAAAGCTTCAAACAGTAATTTGGAATAGTTTGTTCTGATTAAGACTTAAATTTTCATGGGATGTCATATTCACCTTTGAGTTACATGATGATTTTCAGGTGTGATTTAAGGATAGTGAGTGATGCTAACGTTTTCTTCATCGAAACAATCGTCGAACATCTCGGAATTAGGGAATGTTTCTCGGAGATTAACACGAATCCAGGCTATGTTGACAAGGAAGGCCGGCTGAGAATCTTCCCTTTCCATGATTTCCATTCTTCTCCACATGATTGCAACCGTTGCCCTCCCAACATGTGCAAGGTACAATATTTGAGTTTATACATATATCTTGCAAATGGGTTTTTTATTAGTTCCAGATTAGACTAAAATGAAAATAGACATAAGCAGCATTAGACTAACTCTTGCATCTATAACATATATAGGGCAAGATTATAGAAAGGGTTAAGGCTGATTTGGCCAAGGAAGGAAAGAAGAGGATGATCTACCTTGGTGATGGGATTGGTGATTTCTGCCCAAGCTTGAAGCTGAAAGAGGGAGACTTTATGATGCCAAGGAAAGGTTTCCCAGCTTGGGAATTGATAAACCAAAACAGATCTTTATTAGAGGTAGAGGTCCATGAATGGAGTGATGGTGAGGAGCTTGAGGGGGTTCTGCTTCAACTCATAAACAGGATCTGCATTGAAGAGAGTCATTTTGATCGGCCAATAGAAGATTCTAAGTTCCAGACTATCTCGATGCAGTTGCCTAAACCTATTTCTGTACCTTTCTAGATGTAGTGTGAGATTTTTTTTAGTTCTATATGCATGCCAATTATTTTTCTACGGGAAAAGTGTCAAATAAGTCCATCTACTTTTAACAAAAAGTCAATCAAGTCCACATACTCTTTACTAAGTCAATTAAGTCCTGCAAGTATGCAAAAATCACCAAATTGGCATTTTTATAGGTCATCTACCAGTTAGCCGGTTGATTGCTGACATGGACATCCATGGTAGCCTTTTTTTACTGTTTCATAATTTTTTTATTCTTTACCATTTTCTATTTCCTTTTTTTCTCTTTTTTTTTTTCTCATTTCCACTCTTGGTTTCTTCTTTCTGCGTACAGGTCGACTACTTTTCCAGGCCTCCAGATCCACGCATCTGTAATCCGCTCCAGCCTCCACCATCCCGAGTCCCGACCTCCGCTGCCCTACCGCCATACCCACCGTCTCTGCGGTCTTCGCCTCCAGCTCATCTATTGCAGCGACCTCTGACTCCCCGGCCTCCATAGCCACCGCCTCTAAGGTCTCTCCTCCGCCACCCGTACATCCATAGTCACTAACTTCAAGTCTCCATCTCTTGCCCCTACCTCCATAGCCAGGCCCCCACACCCGTCCTCCAACCTGCACCTTTGCCGCCCTTGCTACATAACCACCTATCCCTTTAGTTTCATCGTGATTGCCATCAGTTTAGGCAAGAAAGAAAAAGAAAATTGAGATTAGGACAGGTTGACGAGAAGCGGAAGAGGCGTGGACTTGGATTGATGAAGAAAAAGGAATTGCCATTAATGGAGTTAAGCTGGGCTGAGGGCTAAAAGAGATGGGAGAATAAGTGAATAACGAAAGAAAGAGAAAGAGAAAGAGAAAGGAGGGAGAAAGTCAGAAAGAAAAGAGAGAAAGAAATAGAAAAAGAAAAGAAACATTATACTGTAAAAAATTAGAAAACCTTAAAAAACACCAGCTGGGCATACATGCTGGCAAGTTACCGGGTAACCGTTTGGTTACCTGTAAAATGGCTGATTTGGTTAATTTTTTACACTTCGCGGACTTAATTGACTCGTTAAAAAGTATATGGACTCAATTGACTTTTCATTAAAAGTAGGTGAACTTATTTGACAGTTTTCCCTTTTTCTACTGACTATTCAAGAGAAGGAAAATAAAAGGTGGTTAGCAGATTTAATTTTAACCAAACGCCCCCTAACAGTATGCTGTATGCCCTCCAAGGCTCCAAATTGATCTTCATGTTTGTAAATGCTTTGATACCGAATGAGAATAACGAAGAAGCTTATTATTCATCCATAATAAGGTGTTTGTCAATGCTTTGATCCGAATGAGAATACCGAATGAAATATAATGGGTGTTGCTTGGCGCACCATAACTTTCAATCTAACCTCAATATGACTATTTTATCCTTTCTTTAATGAAAATTAAGAGTCCGTTTGGTAGCACGAAAATCGGCTGTTTTGGCTGATATTGTTGAAATTTATGAACTTCTGGCTGAAGTGGCTGCATTGTGTGATTCTGCCGATTTAAGAAAAAAACAGTTTTAAAATATATTTTATTAATTAAAAAAAATATATGTAAAAATAGTTAAAATGATCATCTACAATAACTTCAGCCAATACAACCAAAAAAGTAACTTCAACCTTACATTTTCTGCTTATTACAAAAAAAACAGATGACACCCCATCCCTGAGGGGCCCCCAACACCGACCGGACGGCATGATGGGAGGATGTTAATTTTCTGCTTATTACACAATTCAGCGGACAGAAGCAAAAGTTACCTGTTTGGTGAAAATGTTGGCTGATAAGCCTGATAAATCGAAAAACAAAACGGCCTCTAAAAATGATTGCAAGTTACGCCAGTACGCACATCGATACGTTTCAATCAATTGCAATTTGCAAAATGATTCTCCGCCCAAAAATTTTAGGCACGTGACAAGTAATTATTATTTTTATTAAATGTTATTAGTACAATTTTTTCATTTTATGTTATGATATTTACAAAAATATAACAAATTAAATAATTTTATATGATACTACGTATCTCATATGAGACAAATATTAAATATTTAAAAAATTATTATGATAAACAACTAGTAAATATTTATTTTACAAAGTACATCATTCCTCTAATAAAATTTTCTCATACTCCTTTTGTGTTTGTCACAAAAACTTGTCACCTTTCCTAATAATCAATTGATTTGTGTCATTGTAAACATAATGTCAATAAAAATGTTTTTAATTAAACCGAGTTTTTGTAGCGTGATTTAATTTGGTATTATCTGCTCTAGTAAACGTCTGTTTTACTTGTAGTATACAATTATTGAAATCTAATCTAGGCTATGTTTGGCAAGCCACATAAGCTCAAAAAGGGCTGAAATATATCAAATTCAGTCAATTTTTATACCATTAATGTTGTTTGGATAAAAGGCTGAAATGAGCTTGAACTGGAAAAACCCAACTGAACTCAAACGCTTAGAGGAGCAACGTTTCCATGCAGTCGGTCCCTTCTTTCCCGTATTACCCCAACCTCGTTACAATTCCATCTTCGCTGCAAGTGTGCGACTATCAGAAAGGAGAAACTTCAATCCTAAACCAACGAGAGTCGAGAGGGATCAAGAGACGATGCCGCAGGGGCGGCGCCGACGGTGCTGCACCGGCAACGGATGAGACACGGGTCTCTGATGGAGGAAGGGATCTGATCTATCCCAATTCCCAAGATAAACATAGGTTACATAGCTGGCCGAGAAGATGATAAAAAATGGCATCTACGCAACTTGCCAGCCTGCCATGGTCGAAGAAGAAAGAAAAAAAAATCATAGAATCAGTAGCAAAATTGAATTACGTCCCTATTCAACTTTTTTTTATTTGAGCTTGAATATGCGCACCGCAGAAATTAACTTGATTGTAATGGTGTAGCCAAATTATACTCCGTATACAGTAGTATATACAAGCATATACTTCGTATAAGATCTTAACATTTTCTGGTTTATAAAAATAATACTCGTCATAAGTTTTTTATCTTTTGATAAATTATATGTCCTTTAACGTAATTTTATATTTTTCAGTCATTCTTTCAGCTCTTTCTTCCAAACGAGTCTCCTAATTTGACTAGCAATTCAGATTCAGTTTTTCACAATTCAGCTCCAGACAATAGTTTATGATTCAGACAATAGTCTCTAATTCAGACATTAGCCTCTAACTCCAGCTTGTTGTGCCAAACACAGCCCTAGTCTAGTCTAATCTAGTTTGATTTGAACTATTTAAGTCTGTATTTGATTGAAATCAGTCTCATTTAAAACATCTCAAATAGCATCGAACATAACTATCCGTAGTAGGATAAAGACAATATTCAATACAAATATGAATGAAAAGGTATATATGATCACTTGAATATTACTAAATATTGTATGCGACAAAATCAATGAAGCAATTCAAAAACAAAACAAAGATAAAGGTGTAGTGGGACAGAAGAAACGATTATACTCTGTATATGAAGTAAGATAAATAAATATTACATACCTCGGTAAATTTTCCTTTTTAGTTGTTTTATTAATTAAGTTTGTTACATAGAATGTTCCACAATATTATGGTGGTCATATATATTTTCATTCATCTTTGTATTGAATATTGTCTATATATTACTTCATATTACATATAATTAAGATTAGCGCTATTTAGGATGTTTTTAATTGCATTAATTTTGGTTTCAGACTTGAACATACCAAATCATATCAAACCAAAATCATATTTCGATAATTGTACCATGTATAATATACACAGAATAGACATCTACCAAACCAGACTAATTCAAAGCACACTAAGCTAGACCAGATTTAAATAGACTCATTCATATCAGGCCATACTAGAGTAGAAAATTTCAATCTAATTAAAAACATCTTTATTGACATTATAATTATAAATTAATGTCTACTAATATATGAATTTATGTGAAATTAATATGTATACTTCACAAAGTTCAAAGTTGCCATCTTATAAATTATTGTCTCTTAAATGAATGTTATCTTTGTCCTGCTTAAAGGTTTCCATTATAAAATTGCACGATTATTTAGACAATAATTAAATAAGGTTGTTCAAGTATATTTTGAGTAACAGTTTTGATGAGTATTTAATGTAATGTGATCATTGATGATAACCGTGATGTTATAATTGTATTATTTTTAATGTTTGATGATTTAATTATCATTTATGAATGTTAATTGTTTCCTAAAATAGAAATGATGCCCTTTATATGAGACGTCCAAAAAAGAAAGTAGGAACTTTGGAATGAAACGTAAAATGCACATTTAGTAACGGTTTATCAACCCAAACTGTAACAAACTTGATTACATTTTTATTTAAGAATTTTATACATGTAATATGAGTGTCATATGAATGATTATAAAAAAAACATTTAATTTGATATATTTTTATAACAACTAGAGTACAAAAAAAGAAGTTATAATATTTTATAAAAATAATAATTGTTTGCCACATTGCTGAAAACTATTTGATAGAAAATTGGTAATTAAGTGTGGTCTGTGATAAAGTAGTAGTGCCACCGAGCAACTAAATCAAATACACCGGCAATTAATACTCCGTAATTATGGCAGATTTAGCCCTCGCAATCTACGGACGGGGTTTCTCCATAGTGGCTTAGCGTCGCGTAGGGTTTTGTCCTGGCGGTTTTGCCATCGCGTAGGGTTTTCTTCCGCCAATTTTGTGTGGCTCTTCTTATTTAGATTTCTAGAGTGTTTTTTAAGGAGACATGAATGTGGCTGCAACTTTTGGAAACGAATCCAAAGTTCAAAAAATGATGATCTAGAGCAATGTTGTCTCATTCCTACAATTGAGGAAGAGGTCGAAGGGTTAGTTTATGGCGAATCAACATGGATAGAGGGTGGTGGTGGTAGTGGAGGCGGAACGGGCAACAAGAAGATGTGGAGAGTTGAAGGGTTGAGCAAGGGAGAAGACAGATCGGTGGTCCAGCCCCCTCCTGAACCGCCGCCTTGGAGCGGTCAAAGTGCTAGGATTTGGAAGATTTATCAGTTATTTAATTTTCTATGGTTTTATTTTCGCGTTATGTTTTATGTTGCTTTGTTTTTTTGTTGATATCTTAAGTTTTAGGTCTACAATTATGATTGACAATTCTGGTAGATATTATGTCGTTAGAAGGATCTATATGGCAGATGATTGCTGTGTGACACTTGCTTGGTGGTTAGCGATTCGTATTGCTGTTTCAGGGGTGGTCGTCTCTGAGTCTAGCCGTAAGGTTGATAGTGCTAGTTCGTTAGAGACGGTTGTTGTCAGGGTTGGTCTTTTTTAGTTTATTGTAACGATCTGATCCCTAATGATATTAATATAAGCGTTTTGTTTTGATGATAAAAAACTCTTGTATGATTAACAAACAAAAAGGCAAGTTTGTCCATTTTTTTTAAAAAATGGGGTGTGCTCAGCATTTGTCTAATATTTTACGTAGTATTTTATTCAAGGAAAAATAATTGTAATTAAATAATACTCCCTCTGTCACAATAACAATGGGACAAGAGGGAGTGACACACAAATTAATAAAAAGTGTTATATGTGGTTGATATTGAATTGATAAAGTAATAGAATGATTTAGAGCCACACAAACTTTACCAAATTTGGTATGAGACAATCTTAGTGGGACGGACCAAAAAGGTAAAATTGGACAATCTTAGCGGGACGGAGGTAGTACTCTGTATCAACTATGACCCGTGAATCAATGATAATATATAGTTGGGAAATGATTTTTAATTATACAGAGCCTCTTTCCGACTAGAAATTCAATGATTTAAGACATTAAAAACTGATGGAGTATAAAACTATCAAATAAAGGTGATGGGGTATATTCTCATATATCCCAGTGGTATCATAATCGTCGATCAAAGACCACAAATGCGTCACAAAATACTTAAGCACCAGAATTCCAACTAAGGCCGACCTCGACCACCGAGGTCGGGACTAAGCACGAGATGGCAAATCGACAAAGGATAGAAGACTCGCCGAGCCCGACCTCAACCCCCTAAGGTCGGAAAAAACACTGAGCTCAGGAATCACCCAGTTAAGGCAAAGTATGAGGCCGACCTCAAACACACCAAGCTCGGTCTCAACTCTGACCCCAAGGTCAAGTAGAGTCAAACAAGGAAGTCAGCGCCACCAACTGAAACCAAAGACCGGAGATAGATCCTCCCGTAGTAAAAGCGAATACCCGAGCCCTGGCCTCCAGGACCTCGGGGTCTCTCCAACGATATGTGGACTTAG